TTATTATTATTGTTATCATTATTATTATTATTATATTAATAATATTATTATTAAGTGACAAGTTCCTCACGGTTTTGTTTCATGTAGTGCCGGAGGTGAGCTGCGCAGTCGGAGTGTTGGTTTGCTCGCGCCTCTTGGAGGGCCGTTAGGCTAGCACTGTTCCGAAGGAAAGGGTTGGAACCGGCGTGAGACAGTTGTCGTAATATGTCAAGGTTCCCGCGGAAGGCAGCCATGTGGAGAGCAGTGTCCCCTCTCTCGCTGCAGGCATCGAGATGTGCCCCCCTGGATGAAGAGAAAGGAGAAAAAAAAACACACAAAAAAACATTTGAGTCACGACCCGGTGGAACCAGGCGCTCATCAGCTGTAGTTTGTTTGTTTGTTTTTTGTTTTCTTGTTGTTTGGTTTGTTTGTTTTTGGTATATGCAGTTATATGTATCGTTTTAAAGCTTGCTCATTTGTTTTGCATGGGATGAAAAAGTGCCTATTTATCTTGAAGAGAAGCGAAGATAATAATTTGCTTTTGATTGAGGTGGTGGTTACCAGGTATCAAAGGTAAAATTAGCTAGAAATGGCTGCCAAAGTTTGATAACTTCCAACGCTTGAGTGTCCTTGGAAATTGCAAATTTAACAACAAAAATGTTGGTATTTTCAATACATCTTTTTTTCAGTTAAGCGCACACAGATGTGCGTTTTTAAATGTATATATAAAAATTGTTAAGCCAAAAAATAAAAAGTTTTTTTTAATAATGCTCAACTAGCGAAAAATGACGGTTTCCTTGGTTTCATTATAATTTTGACTAGCACCCGATTTCACCATGATGTCATACTTTAAAAAAAAAAACAATTGATATGCATATCGTAGTTATACATATCATCATCATCATCCAGTGCCAAATCTGCGACAGACATCGGTGATCATGGTTTTCCATTCATTCCTTTGCTCGGGTGCTCTTTAAAAAAAAAGCTACGTTTCCCTGATCTTTCCCTGTTACCCATTTGTTAGGTTCCCTAAGTATGTTGTTCTGGGCCTACCCCTGCCTCGCTTGCCCTCAGTTTTGCCAGTGAGAGCTAAATGTTCAATACCCTTATGTCTATTCAGGTGTCCCAAAAACTGCATTTGTCGTTTCCTGATTGTTTTTAACATTGAGCGTCCCACGTGGGCTTCATCAAGCACTACTTCATCATTTGATTTCTTTTCCTTCCAAGATACTCTTAGCAGTCTCCTAAGAAACCACATTTCTGTTGCTTCTATTTTACTTTCACTGTCTTTAGTGATTGTCCAGCATTCACAGCCATATAAAAGGGTTATACATATAACGTTTTTAAAAATTTAAGCAATATCATGCCGTTGGAGGTAACCGTTTAGCGGTATTCTGTTTTTCTTTGTCAAGTGAAGGGCTGCGTTTAGCACAGAGACATATCTCAGTGGCAGATTATCTCAAGGCCATCGATATCTATTCATTTCTTCATTTTTTCGTTGTTTTTGTTTATTTGTTTGGTGAGAGGTTGTGTGGGTAAATAAATGGAGGTTGTTTCAAAAGACATGTCACCTGACGATTGTTATTTAAAGAACAGCCAAGGCTTGAATCAACTCTGCCCTCTATCAAAAAACCAAAAGAGCTTTAGAAAAAGGCATTACATTATATCTGTCTGAAAGGCGAGGGATATCTCCTTTTGGTAGGAAAATAGGTTAGGATAAAATGTGTAAACTTCAGTTGCTCTGATGATCCGACATCAACGGTCGGACACCCCAGAGGAAACACACCGCAGAATAAGAACCCCACGGATCATGCTGAACAAAAAAAAAAAAAAATCCATGTCTAACTATCTAAAGATACAGGAGCGACGTCTGTGGTATAGCTGTAGGCAGGCGCTTCGATCCCACGCAGGACACTCGACTTCGATTGCCATGTGGGGAGAAAATTTTCATCGAGTATCCCGTTCTTTCTGCTGGGATTCCGTATCCCAGTCAGCTCGGTTTGACTCTGACAGGCGGCTAAATTAAAGTGATGGGGACGTAAAAAGACCTACATCAAACAAATGAACCGGCGTGTAGTATGGATTTGGGGGGGGGGGGTTATTGTTGTTCTTTTGTTAGCACGTGAACATCATTATTTTGAACATCGCTACGTTTTACTTGACTTCGCCTGGAGGTTTTTTTCATTGGAAATAAGAACAACAGGGGATGTTTTCAGATTGTCCATTCCTTTATGAAAAGAAAGTTATTGTAAACGTGTTACGCCCACGTCGAAACAAGATGATTTAGAAGAGGAGATATTTTGCTCTACCTATATAAGCTGAGAGGAATACAATACCAAATACCGTAACTTCCCCTGGTGGGAATCAAATGTGTGCCTTATTGTGAGCGGAGCAGAGAAGAGTCTACGCATTACACAACAGAAGCCAGTTACCAAATTGATAAGTCATAAATTAACCTTTTATTTTGCCGTTAAGAGGATGGCATCTCAGTGATGTTGATTTTTTTAAAAAAACCCAACATATTCCAGGAATAAATAGTGTCGGCAAGCTTTTCCAAATCCAGAAAGCAACAAAAAAAAATCTAAAGAGAGAAAGACCTGTTTCATTCCTTTGACAATTGCTCCTACAGTATGTATTTTTTCTCGCTTTTTTCAATATGTAGACTTTGAATTGCTGCAAAATATTTCTTGTGTACACGTAACCGATACCACACATTAAGAAACTGCAATAAAAAAAAAAAATCAGAACATTGAGCTAAGTACATCTGAGCTACTGGCAGACGACAGATACCTTTGCACGTGTTGGCGAATCAATAGGCCCTACGGAGTGGCGTCGGAGGCGTTGTGGTTAAGTTACCGGACTCGTAATCGTGTAATGAGGTTGCGGGTTCGGGGGGTCGAGCCGACGTTGTGTCCTTGGCAAAGGCACTTTACACTAATTTTCCTCCTTTCACCCAGTTGGGAATGGATACCCGGCTATAGACAGCGAAAGATCTTGTCAGTATGTTAGTGTTTTAGCGCCAAGGAGTTTACAGTTCTAAACTCCCTGTTTAGCGCCTATAAATGGC